TGAGCCGGTTCTGCCGTGGTGTCGGTTCTGAGCCGGTTCTGCCGTGGTGTCGGGTCTGAACCGGTTCTGCCGTGGTGTCGGTTCTGAGCCGGTTCTGCCGTGGTGTCGGGTCTGAACCGGTTCTGCCGTGGTGTCGGTTCTGAGCCGGTTCTGCTGTGGTGTCGGTTCTGAGCCGGTTCTGTCTGCAGGAATCTGCGGGTCTTGCGCGATGAATATCAACGGTGGAAACACTCTGGCGTGTCTGAACAAGATCGACACTAACACCAGCAAGGTGTCGAAGATCTACCCGCTGCCGCACATGTATGTGGTCAAAGACCTGGTGCCGGTGAGTATCCAAGCCGCAGGGCTGGGCCATATGGACAAGAAATTATCACCATAACTTTTCCCATATCAGTCCATATCGATAATTATCACGATAAATGTCCCAATTTTTATTTCTTTGGAGTTTTTTTGGTGAAATGGACGAAAAAATTATTACGATCATTTTTCATTTCAGTCGATATCGATAATTATCACGATAAATGTTTAAAAAAAATTCTTTCGAGTTTATTTCTTTTGAGTTTTTTGGCGATATGGACAAATAATCGATAATTATGACGATAAATGTTAAATTTGTATTTCTTTCAAGTTTATTTCTTTTGAGTTTTTTTTTTTTTGCAAAATGGACCAAAAAATATCACGATAATTATCACGATGACTTTTCCCATATCAGTCCATATCGATAATTATCACGATAAATGTCACATTTTTATTTCTTTTGAGTTTATTTCTTTTGAGTTTTTTTGGTGATATGGACAAAAAAAATATCATGATAATTTATTCATATCAGTCCATATCGATAATTATCACGATAAATGATACATTTTAATTTATTTTGAGTTTATTTATTTTGAGTTTTTTTTTTTTTTTGCAAAATGGACGAAAAATATCACGATAATTATCACGATGCTTTCCATATCAGACGGTGTCGATAATTATCACAATAAATGTCACATTTTTTATTTCTTTCGAGTTTATTTCTTTTGAGCTTTTTGGTGAAATGGACGAAAAAATTATCACGATAATTTTTCATTTCAGTCGATATCGATAATTATCATGATAAATGTCAAATTTAAATGTTTATTTCTTTGAGCCGAGTGGATAAACGCTCCGTGTGTTTCAAGTGAGTCGCGCTGTTTCCTTCCGCGAACATTTATCGAACTCTCCTTATTATAATATATTATATTGTGATAATTATTGTTAAGGGTTAGCGATATATACCGTCTGCGATGATATCGTAATTGTTGTTTTAACGATGTTTATCGAGTATTTGGCAAAAACCTCTCAAAACCCCCCCCCCCCCTGCAGAGCGCGCGCATACATTACGTGAAGCACATTTAGAGTGTGTTCTTGCACTGCGTGATTCAGTCTAATAAAATGCATTTTAGAATGATCACAAAATTCAAGACATGAGGACAGAAAATGTATATATTTATATAATTTCATATAGTTAATCAATATCACAGAGTGCCGTTTTTTCTACAGAAATGACCATGATTACAAATGTGATATTGATTTTTTACAACAGCTCAATACACAAGAAGTTAATATTAAGAGACTTACAGTACGTTTTAGACGCCATATTAGCTGATTTTGCACTATTTCAACAACAAAAATAACTCCAAACACGGCCACAGCACTGTTTTGCGTCTCTGAGCAACATGACGGTGATTCGTTCCTGAATGAATCAAGCGTTTAAATGATTCGGTTCAGTCGCAGTGACTCACTTATTAACAGTGACTTGCTGCCACCTACTGGCGGGTTTAATTTCACATTTAAAGAGCTGCATTAAACAGTGTGTACTTCAGATGCAACTTCTGCAAAGATGAATTTTGTTGAAACGGATTTAATTTGCCTGGTAACAGCCCAAATGTCTTATTATTCTAATTCACTGATTAAATGTAAGAATTTGACTCAAAAGATCATGCAAACTTTCACAAAAATGGCTTTATAAAGGTAAAAATCAATTTAAACCTATTGGAAAAGATTAATTTCTATAACCATCACACAGAATATGAAGTATATTTATGGTAACTGTTCATGGTAGTTCTTAAGATAACAGCACAATAACACACTCAGCAGAATATCGTCTAATTATCGTTATCGTTATAATATTTTTATCAATATTGCTCACCCCTAGCTTCAATCAAGTCGCGCTGTTTCCTTCCGCTTTTGGCACGTAGCCATTATATAAAACTCTTGTTATTGTTTTATCTGGAACAATTATACATCGTTATCGATTTATCGCCCAGCCCTAGTGTGAACGCTGTCTGTCTCCTGCAGGACATGAGCAACTTCTACGCTCAGTACAAGTCCATCGAGCCGTACCTGAAGAAGAAGGACGAGTCCAGACAGGGACAGCAGCAGTACCTGCAGAGCGTGGAGGACCGGCAGAAACTGGTAGAGTAACCGACACGTGTGTGTGTGTGTGTGTGTAACGTGTGTGTGTGTGTAACGTGTGTGTGTGAGTGGAGTGTGTAACGTGTGTG